TAGAAACTATTCATAAGGGGAAGGGAGAAAAAAAATGATCTCTTAAAATTTAAAAGGAAATTCTCACTCTCATGGTCATAATGGAAATCCCCAAATTTCTCTGCAGCGTGTTCTTCTTCATCTCTGGTAGCATAAAAACGTCTGCCAAAAAATGTTATGAAGAAGTATTTGGTGTCATTGCCCAAATTTATAACTTACAACAATCAGGTTAGCCACATGAAAAGGCATCACTCCCATGAAGGACTCTGATTTCTCCCCCTTCACATAACAGAAATTTCTAACCTTTACTGCTGTGTTTTTCTCGTTTCTGTACTCAGTGATATGGAGTTAATTGTGCCTCCCATGAGATGCTAATATGTTTATGGTATGTACGATTGTATAAAGATCAGATTCTCTAGGTAATAGTATTAAATAGTATTAAACTAGTATCAAGCATTCATTTATTTTTCAATAAATATGTATCAACCATTTATTTTGTGCTAGTGGTTGGCACTGGAGATAGAAATTTAGGGGATTCAGTTCCTGCTCGCAAACAGTTTAGAGTCTAGTAGATAAGCTGACGAGTTAACATTGTGAAATATGTATCAGAAATAGCCCAGGATGCTGTGGGGTGGAGAGGAGTGAAACAGATGTCAGATCTTGGGGTTTTTTGGGAAGACTTCCTGGAAAAGGTCATTGCTGAGGCGAATACATTCAGTAAATCCTATATAATAAAAGGGTAAAATACAAATCAACCGAATGGTGGAACGACCAGTCGCTATGATGCACACTGACCACCAGGGGGCAGATGCTCAACACAGGAGCTGCCCCCTGGTGATCAGTGCACTCCCACAGGGGGAGCTCCACTCAGCCACAAGCCAGGCTGATGGCTGGCAGGCCTAAGCCATCAATCGTACATCCCCAGAGGGCTCCTGGACTGCGAAAGGGTGCAGGCTGGGCTGAGGGAACCTCCTCCTCCCTGCCCAGTGCAGGATGTCGTGCACCGGGCCTCTAGTAGTTAATAAGCACCTGAATGAAGCCCTGTCCACGCCTGGAACATAGCAGAGAAGAAAGCAAAGCCCTGACCTGGTGGAGCTCACATTCTAGAATGCCCTGAAGAAAGTCCGACAGATGAACAACCAAAAAAGAAAATGAACAATTTATCTTTAAAGGTGAATTCTGTACAAGTGAGGATAACTGAGACACCAGAAAAAATCTGGCTCACTCTGTCACCTCTGTCCTATTCAAAACATGTCGAGGGTGTGTTGAAATTTCCTGCCTTTGTGAACAGAGGGGACTGCTCTCCATCCCTGGGAACAGGGCCCAGAATACGTTCACAGCCCAGGGGTCCCTGCCATAATAAAGACACACACACATGGGGTGGGCCATTCACATGGTGACAGATACCCCAAATCATGACATCCACATTGTGACAATGCCCCTTTTCCAAAAGCAGAACTATGCAGGAAAGAGATTCTATCTAATCTCTACCCTGCAAGAGCATATTCTAAGTATATTCTGACCACAAAAGGGAGAGTGGAGCTTATGCACATTACTTCTAAAGAGATGGTACACATTACTATGTTTGCCATTTTTTTCAGAGCAATGGTTACACACATTCCCTCATAAATTCACTTGACTGTTTCTAAGGACTCAGAAAGAGAAGGATGCTGACATGCCACCTGGGTGGATTGATCCCCGAGACCCTGCCATTCACCGAATACATACTATTTTGATTTAATTCCAAATATATTGAATTGCAATAATCTTTCATTCATGTTAGTTCTCCTGTATATGTTTGTTGTGCACAGCGGTGTTAACATCTGCCTGACCCTCTCTGAGAAACAGGAAATACCACATGTCAACTCACTTTAGATGAGTTAGAAAAGGTGGGAGAGTCAAGTAGACTTATGTTGACAGTCTCTATCCATAATATGTGGAGTCCAAAGTCATCATGGTATCCAGCCAGCTGATGGGGGTAGAGAGAAAGTGAAGAAGGGATACTCACTTATTCACCACCCTTGGGTCCCGGGTTCGATTCCGGTCAAGGGCATGTACTTCAGGTTGCAGGCTTCTCCCTGGCCCAGGCCCTGGTTTGTGCATGTGCAGGAGGCAACCAATCAATGTTTCTCTCATATCAATATTTCTCTCTGTCTCTCCCTCTCTCTTCCACTCTCTCTAAAAGTCAATGGAAAAATATCCTCGGGGAAGGATAAAAAACAACAACAATGAATTTGTACAGAAATGACATGACAAAGGAAAATGGTTTTAGGTTCCAATGCGGGAGAAACTGGGAAGGTAAACAAATGGGTGGCGGGGGGGGGGGGGGGACTAATGGAGCAAGGTTTGCAGATTCCTCTGGTGCCTTTTCTGGGCTGAATCTAGAGCACTCTCCAGTAAAGGAAATATACATCCTACCTTTAGACAGGAAGGCGGATAGAGAGAGCTCTTCCTGCTTTTGCTGCTTCTGAATTGCTTTCAGCTCAAAAAAATTCTTATGTCAAAGTCGGCATACTTTGGGGGGTATATTCTGGTTTCCTTCACCAGTGAGGTTGTTTTCTAGGGCTTTAACATTTTGTCCCATATAAACTTTACTACTCCGAGGTGAGGGTGTTAATAAGGTCTATGGTATGGAAAACTTTTAGAAGCAGCAGCTCTGTGCTTCTCAGGGCTGTTTGAAACCATATGTACATATATATAGTTAAAGTGATCTGTTTTATTTTTTTTAATATGTTTTTATTAGAGAGAGAGAGAGAGAGAGAGAGAGAGAGAATTAGCTACCTCCTACTCGCCCTCTACTAAGGATGGAGCAGAAACCTAGACATGTGCCCTGGCCAGGAATCTAATCAGGGACCACTGGGTGCATGGGATGACGCTCAGCCACACTGGCCAGAGCTATCTACCTGTTTTAAATACATACATGTATACATACTTATTTTAAACAACAAAATACCTATTGCCATTATAGTCACACAATTCTTGTAATTGTGTGACAAGTGATGAGTTACTTCAATTACCTAAGGGAATTACATAGGCAACAGAAAGATATGATGAATGGGTAAATTCCATTTGATGTCATAATTCCCCTGCCTCAGGGAGGGTTTTTAAGATCAGGTGAATCTAGTAGAGCAGGAAAAATGCAAGGGGGAGGGGGGAAAGGCCAGGGAAGAGTGGTTTTCAGAACACACAAACCACCGGCTAGTGTGGCTAAATAGTTGAGCATTGACCCATGAACCCAGGTTCAATTCCCAGTTAGGGCACATGCCCAGGTTGCAGCTTGGTGGGGGGCAGGCAGGAGACAGCTGATCCATGCCTCCCTCATGGAGGTTTTTCTCTCTTTATCCCTCTCCCTTTCCCTCTTTCTAAAAAAAAAAAAAAAAAATCAATAAAGACATATTTTAAAATAATAATAAAAAAGAACATACAAGCCTAGGTAGAGATGTACAATGAATCACCATGGATGACAGCTTTTGTGGTTTCTATGTTTATTTTTCAATGACAATTGACAATTGACATTCAATATTATTTTATATTAGTTGCAGGTGTACAGTATAGTGGTTAGACACTTAACTTACAAAGTGACCCCGTCCGGTTATTCTAATAGTCACCTGCCACCACACATCGTTATGCGGTCTTGTGATATTTTTTCTTTCTGTTGATCCTTTTCTAGCTTTTGTGATTTTTTAAAAAGCCTTAATTTGAACCTTCTGGTGTATTCAATATGGTGCTCACTCCCCCCACCGTCACAATGATCTCTTGAAATATGAGTCTGTTCATGTTCCTACACTCGCCTCACTACCAAAAACCAAACCAAATCAAACACAAAAAAATAGCCCAACTCGTGTGGCTCAGTGGTTGAGTGTCGACCTATGAACCAGGAGGTTCATATTCCCAGTCAGGACACGTGCCCAGGTTGAGAGCTCGATCCATGTGGTTGCAGGAGGCAGCCAATCAATAATTCTCTCTCATCATTGATGTTTCTATCTCTTTTCTCCCTCTCTTAAATCAATAAAATACACATATTTTTTTTTTTTAAAAAAGCACAAAAAACACCACACACCGAAGACTCTTAGCAGGGCTCTGGAGACATGGACTCTTTGCCCACCTCTCCATTCCCTGCCTACACTTATTTGAGTACTTTTCTTTAGTTCCAGAAAAACAAGCAACTTCACACTCTATATTTTCTCCTGTTTCTTTGGCCTGGAATGCTAGTCTCACCTTTCTTTGCCTGGAGAACAATCATTTACTTTCAAAAACTCTACTATCTCTCAGGAAACCTGCCCCGGTTCTTCAGCGAAGCACTGGTCCTGCCTCTCATCTCTCTGCATATTTCTATTTTTTTAAATCATCTCCAAGCTACTTAATATTCCATACAATTTTGTTTTATTTTGAACGTCTGTTCTCTTAAACCTCCTAGCAGGGTGGGGCACCCAAGAAATGTTTACACAGCTGAAATGAACCCATGTTTGGTCCCCAATGACCCAATGACCCAATGACCTCCACCCTGAGCTCAGAATCCCTAAACTATACTTCAAACTCTCCATGCTTGTAAGTGCCCGCAGGTCACAAATCCCTATCGCAGGGTTTGACAAGTATGAAGTCACCATTACTCATCTTACTTAGCTCAGGGCTCCAAGCTGGTACTAACTGTGATCAGTGAGAGGAGAAAGGGAAATGTAATTTTTAGGAAACCAATAGTCCAAGCCCGCGCACGTTTAAAACAGAACCCCAGGAGGCACACGAGGCCGTCCATCCTGATGGGCCCGACCCCTACCTGCCCCACACTCTCTAGGTTTTCATGGGACACCATGGGGCGGGGGGGATGTCACCGCGGTGGGCTCCCCTCTCCCCAGCGGCGCGGGCCAGGCCCCTGGGAGGGGAAGCCCGGGTGTTCCAGGCCTGGTACCCCGGAAACCCCGAGGGAAGGAGGGGGCGGGAGGAGCTCAGTTTCTCCGAAGTTGTGCAACCGCGGGGCTGAGAGCCGGACATTTCCGCCCGCGTCCCCCGCACAGACCCGCCCGCCTGCGCCGACCCCGCCGCACCCGAACCAAAAGCGAAAGGAGCCGCGTCTCCCGAGTGGCGTCCGCGGGGAGGTCCGCGCGCCTCCCATTCCGCGGGGCCGCCACTTTGTGACTTCACTCGCTTCGCAACAAGCCCGGGCCACTCGCGCCCCACCCACCCGGCCCGCCGCTCGGCCGCCCGCAGGCTCCTCCGCTCTCCGCGCTTCCCTTCCCTCCGGCCTGGCCTGCCTCCCGCGTCGCGGAGTCGCCCATCGCGCCGCCCGTGGCCGCGCGCACCGCAAGGTGGCCGCCGCCTGGACGGCTGGCACGTGGCGCCCCCGCCCCCGGAGCTGCCCGGCGCCCGGCCCGGCGGAGCGCCGCGCACCCCAGGCGGCGCGATGCCGCGCTTCCTAAAGGGAATGGCCTTCGTCCCCTTCCTCCTGGTGACCTGGTCATCCGCCGCCTTCATCATCTCCTATGTGGTCGCTGTGCTCTCCGGGCACGTCAACCCCTTCCTCCCCTACATCAGGTAGGCTGGGCGGTGGGTGGACCCGGCGGAGGCGCCGCGGGGTGCCACTGATGCAGAGGCTGGGACCCAGACCCAGCGGGGTGTCTTTAGAACCTAATGAATGGGATCTGACTACAGGGAGAGGAGAGGCTGCCCCCTGGCAGATGTGTAGAGGCAGGGGGCGCGCAGCTGAGTACCAGGAGGGGTTCGGGATAGACAGAGCTACACCGAACTTTCAGGTTGGGGATGGGACAGAAATCTCAGGAAGATGCTTTTCTGGGCAACGACGGATGCCATTTATTTTGAGTGCAAGTTGGAGATCCAGGTGTGAGCTGAAACAGCTCGCATATTTCACTTCTGCTTCCCAGCATCCTCGTGAAGTGGATGTCTGGTTCATGTTTTCAAGAAAGGAAACTAAGTTTAAGCAGATGTTGAAATACCATCAGTGTGACACTGATGTCACAGCTAGGAAATGGTGGAAGCAGAATTCACACCCAAATTACATCCCATGCCCAAAGCAACACTCCAGGTCTTTGGGAATCAGACTGAAGCTCTCCTGGATGGAGCTGGCCAAAACACCCCCCCCCCCCGCCCCCGCCCCCCCAACCCTTCTCTGTCTGGGTTCTGTGCCCCCAGAGCCAGAGCCCTCAAGCTGTCAACAACTTGTGGCATCTCTTGTGTTGTCATTATGCCGTTTCATTTTTCTTGAGTTTTGGGCTCCACCTTTTTAAGGGCACTTCATCGTTGGCCAGGACACAGGTCCTGATTCTCTTCGTGTGGCTCCCAACTCCGTGTCTTGTCCATAGCAGTCTTTATTAGAACGATTCATCTCTATCCTAGATTGTGTGGCTTCTCTGGGTCTATATTGGCTGGTGAGGGGATAATAAAGTTGGTGACACCAGTTTGTAGAGATGATACAGATTATAAGCGTTTTCCCTCCTGCAGCCCTCTGTCTCGTGGGCAATATTCTGTAATATTTTCTTTGTGGGTGAGGAGGGGGAAATGAAGGTGAGGCAAGAGGAGACTAGGATTTAGAGATGCAAGGAAGAGAGCATTAAGGAGATAGGGCAAATCTGCAGTCACGGGGGGTCAAGGAGGGTGTTTCCCATACAGAAAGAGGCTCCATGCATCAAGCAAACGTTCCCATCTGGTCATGTGCCCCTGAAGAAACCTGGGCTTGGTGTCTCATGGCTCATCTCAGTCCTAAGTGCCATTGTCTTGCTCCTTAAAAAAAAAAAAAGTTTATTGATTTCAGAGAGAGGTAGGGTGAGAGAGATAACATCAATGATGAGAGAGAATCATTGATTGGCTGCCTCCTGCACGCCCCATACTGGGGATCCAGCTGCAACCCGGGAATCAAATCGTGACCTTCTGGTTCATAGGTTGCCACTTAACCACTGAGCCATGTGCCGGGCTGTCTAATTCCTCTTGATTCTGAAGCAGGATAGATCTCCTCAGACCTGTGTTAAAAGCTTTTCTCACTGCAATGGTTTGAGTGTCTGTGCATTTTAAAAATTTTAAGTAGGAATTATTTGAGCCAAATTGAAGACACGCTAGGGAGCAAGATCTCAAATGCTCCCCTCCCTGCAGTGCTGTGTGTGTGTGTCCTGGACCTGAAGGTCAGGGACAGATACACATTGGCCAGGCAGCCAGAGGCAAGGTTTGAGTCTTTGTAGACGTGTCTGAAATAGTTGTGATTAATATCACCACAAGGTGAACTTGAAATGGAAGACGTTCAGAAATGGGGAAATGAGCTGACAAGACGAACCACTTGTGAGATGCTCAAATCACAGACGTGCCAGGAAAGAGATTGTACATTTAACAAGGAAAAGAAGCCTTTAGGAAAAGCAGAATGACTGGAGAAAAAGGCATGAGATTGTTCCGTTGTTGCCAGGAGTCATCAGCCTACACACACACAGCAAACATGTGGATTGTTTGCCCACATGTGCCTGGGGCTTTTGGTTGTCTGAGCTCTCTGCCTGCAAAAGCAGCTGGAGCTCTGAAATGCCTCTGCGCCTCCTAGAAAACCAAGTCATTGAGGAAAGGGCAAGATGTAGGTAAGAACTAGACATCAGGGCCTGATGGGTGTGCCTGAATGATCAGTTTTGTCCAGAAATGTTCAGCTTTGTCTTCTATGATTCATCTCTGCTGTCAATACCTCTTACTCTTCCTTACCCCCACTCCCTCCATTTCCTCCCAACTGCACTGGCTTCCTCCTGTGTCTTAAATGTGCCAGGTCTCCCTGTATCCAGGCGTATTATTCACCATAGCACCTATCACCTTCTAACAAACAGGGTGATTTACTTATTATGTTGGTCACCTGTCTTCCCTCTGGAGTATCTATATATCTATACTAATAAAAGGGTAATATGATAATTAGACCGGATGTCTTCTGGATGACCTTCTGGACATCCTTCTTGACAAAGCCAGGCCCAGGTGAAGCCGCCCAGGGTCCTGGGTGCCTGTGGCTATGGCTGGCCCGTGTGAAGCCGCCTCTGGTCCCGGGTGCCTTCGGCCAGCCTGGGTGAAGCCAGTCTGGGTTGCAGGTGCCTGTGGCCAGCCAGAGGGAGGGAAGCCCGGGTCCTGGGTGCCTGCAGCCGGCTGGAGGAGGGAAGCCTGGGTCCTGGGTGCAGGGGCCGAGGCAGAGGCAGTGAGGGGTGATCAGGTCAGCAGGGGAGCAGTTAGAGGCGATCAGGCCAGCAGGCATAGGTAGTTAGGGGCGATCAGGCAGGCAGGCAGGCGAGCAGTTAGGAGCCAGCGGTCCCAGATTATGAGAGGGATGTCCGACTGCTGGTTTAGGCCTGATCCCACAGGGATGGGGATTGGGCCTAAACTGGCAGTCGAACATCCCCCGAGGGGTCCCGGATTGGAGAGGGTGCATGCTGGGCTGAGAGACACCGCCCCCCTGTGCACGATTTTGTGCACCAGGCCTCTAGTATATATATAAAAGGCTAATATGCTAAGTGTTCATCTGACCAGTAGCTGTGATGCGCACTATCAGAGGGCAGATGCTCAATGCAAGAGCTGCTGTGATGCGCACTGGCCATTTACAGAGAAACGGCACCTGGTGCTCACAAAGCAACACTCAGCTTCCCCCAAGTGGGACACAGGCCTCCGCCACCACCCTGGAGTGACAACCTACCAAATCGCAGCTGATGCTGCAGAGACCACATGGCGCAAAATGTGGCCCACAGCCCAGCTCAGCCAGGAAACGGTGGCTGTGGGCACCGGGTAATGACGTCACATAGCAACGCCTGGCTTCTTCTCCCTAGCAACTAGCTTCCTTGCAGTTTCTTCAGCCCAGGAACACACTTGCTTTATAGCCAGGTGGAAACATTTTACACTTTAACCAAATGTCTGTGAAGTGTTTTTCTGTGCCTCATCTCATTTGATCCTCACAGAAGTCCTGGAGTAGGTAGATAGGAGACTCAGTAGAATCCTATTTTTTTTTTCATTAGCCAGAAAACGGAGATTTAGAAAGCTTAGAAAGTTGACCTGACTGAAAAGAAGCAGGAAATGGTGGACCTTGAAAATGACTTTAGGTTTTCTCACTGTTCAGAATATACTGCTGCAGTTAAATATTTTACCCTTTGTTCTCCCTGTGTGATCTACAATAATAATCTGCTTCATGTTGATATTTACTGCTGTGTTGCTGACAATTACCTGACAGAGAAGTTGGGCTGGAAAAGGTTTAGCGAAATCAGAAAGCAGGTCTAATTAAGCAAGTTTATTCTCTATATATAAAAGGCTAAGTTGACTCGCGCGTGCACAATACATATAAAGCTCTCGCTGGCGCCAATCACACGCGTGTGTTTTGATCTGTCATTGTCTATCATGAATTTGGTTGACACTTGTATTATAGAGAAAGGGCAAATAGTGATATTAAAATAGTTCTTCTAATTAATTTTCTTTCAATGTGCATGAATTTCTGCACGGGGCCATTAGTAAGATTCATGAAGGCTCTCAATATTAGTAGAATTGATATTTCTCAGACATCCACTATGGATATTGTTATTCTTCTTCTAGGGCAGGGCAGGTCGCTTTAGGGGAGGCTTGATCAGGTAGTCATTGGTGGTTGGGATGCAGATAATCCTTGATTGTGGGGTTACATCCTGATAACCTATCTTAAGTTGAAAATATCAACATAAAAAATGTTCAAACCTCTAGAGACTTTTCTTTTTTAAAATTTTTATCTGAAAATTTTTTTTTTATCGTTTTTCTTGTGTTGTAGAGAATTTTAATAAGAGTTTATTTGAGCCAAACTGATGACATGTGCGGAGAGCAAGATCTCACTGCTCCTGAGAATAACAGTTTTGCAGGTTCTTTTATGCAGTTGAAATTAAGGGGAGAACTTAGGAAGATTATATGGAGGTGGAAGGAAGTAACTCGGAGATTGGACAGTTAACAAGGTTATGTGCTCTCTTGAGGGTTGATGCCCCTTCAAGATGCATTGCTTCTGGTATTTCAATGGTGTGTTAACCTACATGTGCAATGGACAGGGCTGGTTTAAAACACTTTATTAAAGGAGTTCTATGCTTGGGGCATGACTGCCCACCATGACCTGATCATTTAGGAATTTATGATCAGATCAGCCTGTGAGATTACTTTCCATAGAATTCCCCTTTTTTTGGTCCAACATATCTTAAGTTGAAAATGCATTTAGTACACCTAATCTGCTGAACACAACAGCTTAGCCTAGCCTACCATAAACATGCTCAGAATACATACATTAACCTATAGTTGGGCAAAACCATATAAAGTGTTGACTAGCTCATGTAATTTATTGAATACTGTACTGAAAGTGACAAACAATGGTTGTATGGGAACTCTCCATGGACCATTAACACAGCTGAAAGCACACTGGGCCTGGAGAATGTTTGAAGCATTGAACTAAAACAAAGAATGTTGGCAACACTGTATACTGCAGAGTGTTGGTTGTTTACCCTCGAGATCCCGTGCCTGATGGGGAGTGGGCCCATCACTGCTGTCCAGCATCTCCAGAGTACCTACTGCATATTGCT